GCATGATAGGCGTCACGGTTTCCATGATGGTCTCTGATGACTTGGAGATGTTGGGTCACTTGAGGGTTTCTGTGTATACAGGCCCTGAGCTGATTCTTGAGCTTGTCAGCCCGAGCTTGGAGAGGGCATCCACCCGGGTGTTGAGAGCACGGGGGACTTGAGCTATATTAAAATCCAAGAAACTGGTCAAAAAATCCTTAGCGACTTTGAGATATATGGCCATCCTCGGATCTTTAGCTGCATATCGCCCATTGACCTGATGGATGACCAACTGTGAGTCAGCTAAAATGTAGAGGTGATCTCTTGTGCCACTTGGAGGCCAACAAGAAGAGCCTCATATTTGGCTTTATTGTTTGAGGCCGAGAAGTCAAAAAAAAAAAAAGAATGCTCGTGCCTCATATCCTTAAAGGTGCGTGGCTCGGGCAATCGATCTATGGCGGCCATCTTCTTGGGGTTGATCTCTATGCCTCTCTGGGTGATCATGAACCCTAAAAACTTTCTCGATTGCACCCCAAAGGAATATTTTGTAGGATTGAGCTTCATCGGTAGTGCCGGAGGGTGGAGAAGGTCTCGTCGAGGTCTCATATGTGGGCTGACGCTTGCTTCGACTTCACCAACAAGTCATCCACATATATCTGTGTAATCGATTCCTTCCTTTTGAGTGAATCCTTTAGCAACTAGTCTTGCCTTGTATCTTTCAATGTTGCCTAATGAGTCTTTCTTTGTCTTAAAGACCCATTTACACCCTATGGGCTTTGCCCCTTTAGGCAACTCAACAAGATCCCAGACATTGTTACTCTTCATGTAATTCATTTCCTCCTTCATGGCATTGTACCACAAACTAATTCTTTACAACTCGTGGCTTGTGAAAAGGTTTCATGATCATTTTCGGCTCCAATATTATAGTCGGATTCATGTAGATATATAACATAATCACTAGAAATTGCTGACTTTTTCGTTCTAATAGATTTCCTTAATATTACATCAACATCCTCTTGGGGAGCATGTTGTTCAACTGGTTGTTGAATGCCTTCTAGTAATTCCTGAATAACTGAATCTACTAGATTATCAGCAGCTTATGAAATTTCTTGATTGTCATTTCCATCAACTATGGGCTATTGAATTTCAATAGCTGGTTGTACAATGTCAACTTAGGGAGCGCTATGAATGACAATCAACTTATTACTTGAGGTGAAAGGTTGAGTATCTAAATGATCCTTCTCAGAAACAATGTCCTGTGATTGATCCCTCCCACTGATTAAGTCATTCTCAGAAATTTTGTATTTCTTGATTCTACAATTCTAGTTTGATGTGATGTACAATAAAACCTATACCATTTGGACCTTTTGGCATGCCCAAATGCGTATATGTCACAAACTCGGTTTCCAACCTTTCAATAATTCAAATGGCATTTTTGGAATGGCCTTAGTTAGAACCCGATTTAATATATACACGACCGTCTTAAGAGCTTTAGTCCACAAGGACTTAGGAAGTTTGGAGCTACTCAGCATGCTCCGCACCATGTCCAATAATGTTTGGTTTCTTCTTTTTGCCACACCATTTTGGTTCGGAGATCCAAGCATGCTGTATTAGGAAACTATCCCATTTTCTTGAAGATACCTTGCAAACGGACCTAGTGCTTGTCCATTCTCAGTATATCTACCGTAATATTCTCCACATTTATCAGACCTCACGATCTTAATTTGCCTTTCGCATTGTTTCTCTACTTCTTCTTTGAATATTTTGAAAGCATCCAGCGCTTCGTTCTTGTTGTGAAGCAAGTAGAGATACATATACCGTGAGCAATCATCTATGAATGAGATGAAATATTTATGACCATACGAGTCTATATCTGGACTACAAATATCTGTATGTATGTTTTCTAATATGTCTGAGCTCCTCTTGGTACCTTTCTTTGATTTATTATCAGCTTTCCCTTTATACAGTCCACACAAGTTTCAAAGTCGGCAAAATCCAAAGTGCTAAGTAATCCATCATTCATGAATCTTTTAATCCTATCAATGGAGATATGTCCTAATCTCCGATGCCACAACATAGAGGAAGTTTTATTCATAACATCGCTTTGTTCTAGCATGAACATGTGTTGCATTATAACATGCATCGTTTTGCAAATTAAAATAGAAAAGACCGTCAGACAAAGTACTATTTTTAATACAATCAGACTGATAATTTAAATTTAAAGATTTTCTAAAAATAGAAAGGAATATCCAATAGGTATAAGTCTTGAAATTAAAATTAATTTTCTAGAGAAATTGGGAATAAAATATGTCTTTTCCAATTTTAAAACAAAACCAGTACTAAGAACTAAATCACAATCTCCAACAGCCTCCACATGTGAATGCATCTTGTTTCCAGATAAGATGTATTGCTCACTTCCTATTGGCTTCCTTGGGTTTTGCAAATCTTATAATTCATTTGTAATAAGGATTGTACAACCAGAATCAATTCACCATGTGTCTTGACAAACTTTAGTCATATTAGATTCAAAACAAGCTAGTGAGATTGGATTACCTCTCTTTTCAAGCTATTCTTTGAATTTGACGTAATTGTTCTTCATGTGTCCCTTTTTCTTGCAAAAGAAACACTTGGATACCTTCTTAATGTCAGCTTGGGCAGGTATTTGACCATTTCCCTTCGATTTAGCTTGAATTTTCTTCTTTCCTTGAACAGCCAGATGTGCACTCTATGAACTCTCTCCTTGTTCCATCAACAACCTCCATTCCTCTTGAACACATGGTCGTTAATTTATTTATTAACTTTTTTTCTTTATGTGTGTTATAAGAGATCTTAAAATGTCCGTATGGTTGTGGAAGAGTGTTCAAAATGTAGTGCACAAGGAAAGAATAAGAAATCTCAACCTCAAGTTTCTTTAGCTGAGCCGCAATATCCCTCATCTTCATGATGTGCTAACGCACACCTCGGACACCTGTGAGCTTTGTTGATGAAAACTTCATAATCAGGGTGCTGGCTAGTGTCTTGTCTGAAGTTTCAAATTGCTCATTAATAGCCTTCAGTAGAGCACTGACAATGTCATGCTGTTCAACAAAACCACGAATGCCAGCAGAAATTTTGGTCTTTATGAACATCATACTTAGGCAATTGGATCACTCTTAATGTTCGTAAAGAGCAATTTCAGCTGCAGTGCTGGCTTTAGTGACTTTGGGTGATTCATCTTTCCGGATAGCATAGTCAATGTCCATCCACCCCAAATGAAGGAAAATTATCTTATAGTTTTCACCTCTTAATTTAGGAATTTCACAACTTGCATCAAAAAAATTAACAGTTTGAATAGCTGCATAATTAATCATACATGTTTATTTGTCAATAAATTGAGACTAATAAATAAAATATATGTTTCACCAATGTAAAGCATATCTTAAATGACAAAAATCAAATGACATAAAAATTGCATGTGGGCCAAATTTTTTTAATTCAAAGAGATTTGTTTTAAACTTTACGATAAGACTATCAAATCATATTTCAATTCCTAATACATGTGGCCAAATCAGGAAAAATAATTTGATATTTTCATAATTAATTATTCAAATATATTAAAAATTCATGTGGGACAAACTTATTATACCGAACATCATTAATCACAATCAATATCTTTGTACTAAATGTGATCCAAAACTTCACTTAATATATAATTCTGCATAATTAGGGTTGCTGTGGTTAATCCTTAGTTAATAAAAATTATATGGACCACTAGACATTTTATATTTTATGCACGCACAAGACAAAACACATAAAGCTAACCCATCGTGAATCTAGGCATTATGAATAGTAACCATAAGTCATAATCAAACTATACTTATAATTTTTTTAATATTCTAGAACTACATGTCGTTTGGGTCGTCTTCAATCTTGAGTTGGGCCGTTTTGACCCTGTTTTCAGACCCGTTTTTGACCCAATTCGATCTCACTCATTTATAAACAAAATCAAATGTTTAAAAACATAGAATTGATAGAAATCGGATCTCTAAATGATTCATAACATTAGTTATAATAAACAGTTTGGAAAAAAAATAAAGTTATACATAATCGCATAATCCCCGTTTAAGCCAAAATTTCAAAAAACCAATGCTCTACATTTAAACGTTAAGGGCATTCTTAAAAAAAAAAAAAGAATCGCTATAGAAAATTATTTTCTAATTATTTGTAGCCGCAAATGATGTCAATAATTGTATAAAATAATTTGAAAATTTTTGCATCCATGGCATATACGGGAAAACAAATACCAAGCATTCAAACAATGTCTGAAAAAATCATTGCTCTGATACCAAATGTAAGCATATTTACAAATAATATATGCTATCAAAAATGAATCAACTAAGAAGAGATCGATATACCTCCGGCCATTGACGCTTTTGCTTGGGGACGCCTTTAACGCTCTATGTTTTGGTGTTCTTCTAAGCTCTCAGTCAGATGGTGTATGTAAAGTATCAAGAGAGAGTAAATTGAGCTTAGTGACCCAAAATCCTTTTAATTATATTTATAGATATGCTCCAATCAAGCACGTCACAACTTAGGGGTAGTTACCGCAAAAATAGGATCGGATTAATCACCCACTTAAATGACAGTTACAATAAGAACTATTCATGGGTGGGTGGTTAACACCACTCCAAGATTCTAGGTAACAAACTTACACAAACTTTTCTTCTTTTGGTCAAAACACACTCTCCTAAAAAAAAGTTAAAAAAAAGAGGAACAAATCACAAGGAAAGCTTGAAATCCCCCAAAATTCTCATGCCTCCTACAGTTTTTCTCATGTTGAGCAACAAATGTTCATCATATCATCATAACAAAAACGTGGGAGTTAGTTTCTCAAACGGAAAAAATCAAATACAAAATCTCCGTTACCGTTACAACCTCTATGAAATGCCGGAGCAAAAAACGGATTCAGACTAATGAAACAAACGTTTCTTTAATTACTATAAATAAGTATTCACAACACCAATCTAAGGATACACAAAATAATGGATATAACCCTTGTGACACCAGAGAGAGAATTCAAACAAGAGATATGGTTTTTTGACACCGTTCTAGAGATCAAGAAGAAAATCGAAAAATATGAAGGATATCCAATTCCAACCCAAACTTTGATCTACAACGGCAAAGTTCTGGCCGATGACGGTGATACCGAGCTCTACGAGATTCTCGAAGGATCGAAAATACAACTAATAGTCGAAACAGAGGAAGAGAAGCGTGTCAAGGCCGAAGAACCCGTCAGGGTTTTGTTAACGATCAATATATCTATGTCGAAGAAGCAGTTCTCAATAGAATCCGATGTTACGGACAATGTGAGTCGACTTAAGGAGAGAATTCAAGAATCCGAAGGGATTCCGGTGGGTAGATTTGCTTTGTACTTCGGAGGAGGTGAGATGCAGGGTAACAGAACACTAGCTGATTACGGTGTTGCTGATAATTCTGAGGTGAGCGTTGTGATCAGACCATTTATGTCGGGGGCGCCGGTTGGTATGGGGGGTGCTGGTCAGAAAAAGATGAAAGTTTTTGTGATGCCGAAATGTGGGACGAAGAAGATACCCGTGGAGGTGAATCCGTCTGATAATGTGAGCGAGCTGAGGAAGGAGTTACTGAGATTGCATGGTGATTTGAATTTCCACTTGCCGTCCGAAGGATATTTTTTCATTTACAAGCAGAATGTCGTGGACGAAGATCGTACTTTTAGGTGGCATCATGTGCAGCCAGGCGATACAATTGAGATATTCAACGGAAGTGTTAGTGGTGGAAATTAGTTTCTCTGAGTGCTCGTGAATGATTCGTTAATTTCTTAGTTTATGGGTATATGTGATCGTCTGCAAGTTTATATGAAAAAGTTTTCTTTTGAAGTTCTCAATATGTAACATTATAGAAAATGTAATAAATTTAGTTTAATTTGAGTTTTTTAGAATATAAGAGCGGGTTTTTTTTTATCGTTTTCCATTCGGAGTTGTTCTCTCACCTAGGGATTAAAGAGATAACAAATACTCACAGGATCGTCAATATAAATATGTAGCTTGGAAAATTGGAGTTTGGAAGGTACTAATTGTAATTTTATCTGGGAATCAGAATTAAAAGTTTTCAATTTTTTAAATCTTAACGCTTGCAATATTTCAAGCAATTTATAATTAATTGAGTTACGAACTTTGTGGCTTGACTCGTTTAATTAGCGGTGAGCGTCGATTTGGAAAATTTGGCTTTTGTTTGATTAGGGCTATGTGACTTGTGTCTGTCACCCAAATCATTTTTGTACGTCCACGCTATTAGGTTACGTTTTGATAATTTTTAACTTGGAATATGAAGTTGTACGTCGTTCGATTACATATGCACTTTGTCTTGCAATTTGTTCAAAGTTACAACTAAACGTTATTATTTTTCTAGAATGTTCTTTATTTTTTGCAAATTAAAATAATACGATATTTTTTGAGCCATCTTGAGTTATAAAAAATATTTTAACGTATTTTAATACTATATTCCAAATGAAGTTCTTGAAACATAAGACAATATATAATAAATGGTAAAAAATAACATTCAACATTGTTAATAAGTTAGGACACAATATAATAAAGTTGAAAATAATTTATAAGAATGATTTTACTATTCTAACAAAAAATTACAATATTTATAATATTACATATTAAGAAATATTTTTTAATGTTTTCATTATCTTACAACATCCAAAATAAGCAAAAATATTGTAGTTACAATTGTTAGTTACTAGGTTGCAAGTGCGGTTTGTGCTTAATTCTTTTTTAAGTTATAGGTTGCAACTGAACGTGCATTTGCAACATGCACACTAGTCACTAGAACTTCATGAAAAAGGGAGGAAGTAAGCATTTGCGACTACAGTTATAACTGTAACTGTTTCGTTGCAATGAAACAAAGAAATGCAACTGATGAACATGATTCAATTGCTTACAACTATAATTGAAAACTTTCTAGCTGGCTACTATACAGTTCCTAACCTAACATTGTGTATAGACTTAGCAAGAATAGCAGTTCTTTTGTAATTGCATAATTGTTCAGGACTTATATCGCAAGTGTACAGGAATAAATTAGAGTTTAATGCCCTCACCTTTCTCTAACAGTTTCTTTAAGAGAGCGTCGATAAAAATATATATATAATCATAGCTGAAACACTCAGATATCTTTCCTGTACATGTTTGTATTTTCTATTTCGACTTTATACCTTTTCAGATTAATCAATCTATAGACAACTCTATTGGAAACATGACATACAATATGAGGCGAAATATGCATATCATGACTATTAATTAAAATTAATAAACAATTAAAAGAATACCTAAAACGCTTTTCGAATTTCTTCAATAATCTATTCCAAAATCAATTCAAAATAGCTTTCCCAAGAGAAAAAGCCTCCAATTGAAATCCACGTCATCGAAGAGGAGCAATACGATATAGGTTCTCAAATTTCTATTTTCTCCATACTATTCATCATCTTATCTTCATAAGATTTTTCTGTATTTTCATAAGGCTACATATGAATTCTATTAGCCTTCTAGATTTTAACTTTAAATAATTTGTAATTGCTTAAAACTCTATCTATAACAATTAAAGATAGAATAGAATTGTTCAAGAAACTATATCCATAACAATTAAGGATATAGTAGGATTGTATTGTATGTATACATCTTCTAATAACATTAGTGAGACCAATTGGGTCCCATATTGAAAATCAATTATTAATCAAATTAATAATTTTAATTTAACTATCAAATCCTTATCCGACTAACTATCCATAAAGGTTCTTCCATAATATGGGATTAATTATCTATAAATAATATTTTACATTAAGTCCTGTAAGCGTCAAAAATTGCCTATAGGTTGCTGCACGCAGCTCGAGAAGAGAGAAGACGATGAACGCCATTATCAGAGTCTAAAGAGGATCATCCGATGCCGTGAAGAAGCAAAGCGAGTCGACGAAGCGTACGAAACGCGCGAAACGGTGGAGAAACGACACAACCAACACAGTGTTTCGCACCCAGAGTGCGAAACACTCATGAGTGTTTCGCACCATGTGCAAAACACCCAAGAGTGTTTCACACTATGTACAAAACACACCTGAGTGTTTCGCACAGGTGTGAAACACGCAGGGGTGTTTCACACAGATCAGACTCCCGATGAAGCGTATTTTGATAGATTTGCGGGATTCGTTTGTTTTGGAGCCTCCCTAACTGCCTTGAGGCTATCCTTAAATGTGAGAGAGTTGTTATTAACTGAAGATACATTCTTATCCGTAAACATGACGTTCGAAGCTCTATAAATACCCCCCCTTCGTTGTTTGTGAAAAGGAGGAGAGGGGATTGACGCATTGATGGAGCAATGGTGAAGCCCTGACGTTTTGAGAATAAAGAGCCACAAATTTTAGATCAAAAGGCAAGTTCTTGGTGAGTTCTTTAGCATAAAGAAGAATCTTTCGAGAGATCTGCACCCTGTCACTTGTTCCCTCAAGATCATACTGACGTTTTGATCTTGAGAAGGGTATTTATCTCGTATTATTGAGATATTTACTTCTATTCTTGTTTCTATAAGGGGATGAGAATGATAAGCCTTCTTCACAATCAACCGGATCTAATTTTTGGCGGTCCACGGATCAACGAGTCCCAAGTACAAGCAAAGATTCCACGCAAGTAGCGATCGATAAACGATCCTGTGTGTGTTTCTAAGAAGTCCTCATCTATTTGTGTAAGAAAAGTCTTATAAAAAAGCTCATTCTTGTTGAATCTGTAATTGATAAACAATTGTAATAGATTCCGTAATAAAAAAGATTTCCGATGCAAATACGCTGGTGACCACAGTGGGAGCCAACAACCTCTCTTTCGAGGCTGTTGTGTCACAACCAAGGATCAAGATCCCGATTGATGCAGAGATCGAGTACGAGATCGACCAACAAAAGTTCGAGGAGTACGTCTCATCTTCCTCCTCTAGATCTTCCTCCCCTCGCAAGTGTAGGAATATCTCTTCTTTTAAGAAGGTTCGCTGGTCATCAAATCTGAAGACCCAGGGCGATGACTATCACCCAATTATTATTGACGGTTCCTCTCACAACGCCCCTCAGACATCCAATGAAGCCAGATCCGTGGCTCCTAACAACTCCTCTTCAGTCAAGGAGTTGTCCGTTGAAGGCGCACCCGTTATCATACATTATCATACGGATTTGGAGTCAAGGAGGCGCCAAGCGACTCAATCGTCTAAACGGAAAGATGTTGATATCTCCTCCAAGCCATTAACCAGTGAATGAGTCCGTTTCAAAAGGACTCATTTGACTCTCAAGGAACGCATCCATAAGCATCGCGCACATTTCGTGCACGCACGTATTCTTGTGCAAAATGCACAAGAATTACAGAAGGAAGAGGTGGTCAAACAACCACCAAAACCACGCAAAGTCTGGGTGCCGAAGTCCTAGACGACGTCAAAAACAAGTCGGAAGACGGCCGAAGAGATC